CTGGAACCCATGTTGCATTTTTCCTCAGACTAGCACTTAAATTACTATATTAATGAATTGTATTGCTCTCCACCATCTTGCTTTTACTACAGCATCCTAACCTTTTGACCTTTTTGGTTGCGTACCCAGCATGAGACCTCCCTCCAAATGCAAACACACAGCAAACCGTCAGCTTCACTTTGTCAATGCACCCAAAGGCCAAACATTAACAAGACAGCCATGACGGGACGCTCTTTCCCTGCCTGATTACTGCCTCTGTCACTCACGCTTGGCATTATTCCTTTTCAAAGATGTTTTTTTTTTATACTCTACAACATCAACAACATGCTTTCTTCTATTGGTGACAAACTAGATGGGAATGCGTCATCTTTTGTCACAAAATGGTAAACATAGCACTGTCCTTGGGCGCTAGAAAGAATGACTGTACAGTACGTTAATGGCTGCAGCTCGCTGTCATAGTTAATATATCGTAGTAACAAAGGCAACATCTGTGTGATCTAGTGTTTGGCACTGGATACATGGACATGTCCTCTCCCCTCGCTGTTAAAGGTGGGTGTCAAACAGCTAACGAGAATAGATGAAAAGTCAATGCAGCTAACAAATCAAAATGTATTGTGTCATTACCAAGGGCAGAGAAAACAGTTTTTCACTTCTACCTCATCAAGTAAACTTTAGTTCACCAAAGTGTAAGAGGTAAGCTTTGAAGTTAAATATAATCACAAGTTACTGTTCATAAATCATTACTGCTTATTTTAAATGTACTTTGCAGATGAAGTATTTGCTACCTTTATATAGCTGTTTATACTGTATAGCTGTACTTAAACGCATTACTCACTTTGACTATGACAAAGCTGGAATTCCTGTCTGGAGCGAGGGAGTTGTGGGTGAAATGCCCAGGCCAAATTACATTGTATATATTTATAAGTGTCTGTCAGTCTTCTTAAGTGAATGCCCAGTCTTCACTCTAGGATTGTAAAAAATCTGCCTTGAGACTGAAGTATCGCTAATCAAAACTAGATACTCATTTGAACAAGCATCTATAAATCCCATAAAGACCTCTATGATAACATTCAAGAAGGTACAATATTTTTTTGGTTGAAAATCACATTCTTTTGTTGCATCAAAATCAGTGTGGACTATAAAGATCAAGTTTGAAGTTTTAGCAGTGACAACTCTAGCTCACTCCTTTTGTCTAGCTCAGTGTTTCAGCAATAAAATCTACTCACAAAACTCAAAACAAGAAAAAAACATGCATAGGTCACATATTTTGTAGACCACATACATGCGCATCTTTTGCAATGCAAGTTGAGCTTATTACAACATTATTTTACAATTATTTTTAATTGAACACTTCAGGCTTGGCCTTAGGAAATGCCCACGTAAATTTTTTTACAAACTTGCTGAGCGCACTGCTTTCACTTAATTTTGTGTCTTAATTTTAGTAGGGTAAAATAAACCGTAGGCTTTAATGAAGAATGGTTAGCGGCTATTAAGAACTCCTCTTAGCCCCCTGTGCTGCCGTCACAACTTTCAATAAAAAATTAAGAATAGCCTCTAGCAAGACAGGAAATGGGCTAGGGTGCTTTTTGGCTAGAGTTTGTATGTAGTACTAAATCACGTTCATGCTGCCGGTTATGACACAGGACAGTTTGTTCCTCCCTTTATTGTGGCCATTGATTTAAAACCCAAGTCCAGAGCACTTTAATTTACCAGTCGTATATCAGGATGGCTGCAGACTGGACCAAAGTTCAGCTGGGCGGTCTGTTTGGCTATGTGTGAAAAGGGATGACTTCAGATGACAGATAGAGTGACACTGGTGAGGTTACAGCCACCATATCATATTTAGGGCCTGTCTTTTACACTGATGGTCTGCAGTGCACTTGGATCTTCGTGAATAAGTAATGTAACCCACTGAACTACTTGTCCCAAACATGAGGCTAGGAGTGCCATATTTGGGCAACCTTGAACCTCTAGTGCACAGCTGTAGGCTTACATGCAATAGCACTCTGATGTCCTCTACATTATTCCTACAAAGATCAAGACAGGATAATGGTTTAAATACATTTCTTGCAGCATTTGTAGATCTGTAGACTTAGAATAACACAAACATTATTAGTCCATGAGGGAAATTATCTGGACACAGTAGCTCACACATAATATATTATAATAACAAAGAACAAAAATTAAAATGGTAATAATAATAAATCAAAATAAGAAGCAAAAATAGCAAGAGACTGGTCAAATAAGGCATAATTATACAGATGTAAGAGAACTACTATTGACTGTTACTGGTAGTTAGAAATCTAATCGCAATCACAATACAATTAGATAATTTCCCAAAATTGTGCAGCCCTAATGCAGACAAAAACGTGATACTTTTTATTGATCATACTAACAAAACCTCCAACCAGCCAAGAAACAAAACTTTGCTTCTAAACTTTGAAAAGAGAAAGATAACAACATGTTTCACGTTCCATATTCGAATCTTCCTTACAGACATATACTTTGGTAGACTCATGTTTATCTAAAAACCTTATATTTAGCGTTGTTGTCGTGACGATTCCTCCTTTAGCTCTGTTTGTTTTGTCCCTCGTGGCCCTCTGCATGTCCAGCTACCAGAATGTGCCAATGTCGCTGTTGCTCCGGTAACCCCTCAGCTGTATTTCCCAGGTTACCCTGTGATTGTGCACAAGCGCGGAGTGAGAGCGCGTCTCCGGAGGCTCTTTCCCTGCTCCACAGCCAAAAAGCCGTCCTCCAGTAATCAAAGCAAGTGTCTCATCCAAAGCTTTGTATTTGTGTCTGTTGTTGTTGTTGTTGTCACTTCTGTTATCATTATCAGTATGAAGCTATAGCCAAAAGGGTTTTAGTTTTCATTTTGGATATTTTTTCTTGTACAATATTATGGTCTCGAATGTGAATTACATTTTTTTCTCTTCTTCATAGAACTGTTGGTGGGTGGGTTATATTAGGCAGCTATTGGTGATTTTTTTCCACTAAAAGTTAAAACTTGAAATTGGGAAAATGAAAATAATTTATCAACATTGAGCAGGGCCAAATTTTGTTATGGCTAGACTACTAGGTTAGAGTATCTCCAAATCTCGTATAAGTCTTGATTTAAGTGTGCATGACCTCTCACTTGTCCTGGTTTGATCCTGATTTCATTCTAATTTCATTCTGATGTAGACTTGGTTTGGTCCTTCTCTAGTTTAGGTTTAGTTTTGGTAGAGCCTGTATAAGAGACATTGTACAGCTGCAAAAATTTAAGCATGTTTAGATCAGTGCATCTCACGTCAGGAAGAAGAAAACATTTCGTCAGAACCACTATCAATCGTGGACAAATAGTACCCTCGCCTTCAGTCGCCTACATACGAGAGCAAACGTTTTAGTCGCGTCTCCAAAGTGACTCCCGGGACACGCAGCAAGTGTCCGTCCGTATTTCGTGCTGCGCTCACCTGCGTCATGAGGCAGTCCGCTCCTATATCCTCCTCGTCTTTAACAGTGATGTCCGTGTTATAGATCAGTGTGACAGAAATCATGTATAATGCTACAGCAGTATCAACTCCTCTGTATATTTGGTACGCCGCCTTATATGATGCTAACAAAGCTCGCTGGTTCACTGAAGCAGCATTCAAAAAGCGGGATGATTGTTGGCAATATTCGGCATGTTTTTGCTGAAAAAACTCAAGTGGCTGATCAGCATGATTGGGGTGTAATGTCTTTTAAGTGACGCCATCATTTATTTGGCTTCATGCTGTCCACTGCCAACATTTTTAGACACAGTAGCCACAGTGAAGCCGAGCTCTACATATGATTTACATACAGTTTGTTCTCTGTACTTCATATCTCCTGCTCTGTGCTGTGCATGTGTTTGCCCGGTGCATAAACCCCAACACTATAGCACTAATACTCCCTGTGCACACTCTGACAATGAGAGCATCACTGCCAACTACTGTAGTGGATGTGTAATTAGACTGTATTCTAGTACGGCAAAAGAAAAGCATGTTCCCCGAGGTCACACACGCGGTGATCATAATGTTTTTCATTGGTTTCAATTTCTGTTACTACCCAACATTTTGTTTTGAATTGTTCATTCCTAAGGCAACTGTAATTTTTTTTTTTTTCATCACATCTAAAACTCATGGCTACCTGATCAAGTTTAGCATGTTTAGTAAACCACTTGTGTGCTTTTATTTACACTAATTAACATCACCTAACCACTTGACTACACACCAGCAGGTTAATTGTCGTCTATTAGGAGAGGTGGTCTTTGGCTTAGGGCCCACAGAAGAGCAGCGCGGGGGATAATGAGGCAATTGAACACAGTGTCACACCTCGGATCTATGAAGGGCCTGCTCCAACTGGACAAGTCCTACAGCCCAGTGCGAGACGGGGTCAGACAGCAGCTGGCTTCATTACAGGCCATTACCCAGCTCCATGGAGTTCAGCCACCCTCATCAGCAAGAACAATGGCTCTGTTTGGGAAACTTTGGTAAACGTAATGAACGTGGCTGCTTAAAAGAGAGACAGCGAGTTTGTAGAAGTCTGCCTCTAAGTGGTACCAGCAGGATCTAAAATGTTGTAATTGGATAAACGCTTTGATCAATACGTCCTAAGGGTATTTGTGATCATAACAGAAAAGAGAATACAGGCAATTTTCAGAGTGACTGGACAGTTTAATCTGCCTTTTCACTTATGAAGATAATGATCTTAAGTGCTTGTCTGTAGATTTGTTTTTGTACGAGATCCTAATACTTAGAGTTTTTGCCTGTACTGTGCTGTCTTCTCTTGGTTTGATCCTGTTTTGAGCCTAGTTTAGTCCTGATGTAGACTTGGTTTGGTTCAAGTCCCGGTTTAGCATTGGTCTATTACAGATTTTGTTCAAGTTTTGCTAGCAATTTTGTTCTGGTGTGTGTGCAAATGAACAAACCTTAACTCTCTAAAATGTATTTATTTCCTTCAATTATTTCCAAAATTCTGACCTTCACCCTATCTCCTTGCAGATAGTGTCGAGGATGAACTTGAACTGTCTACGGTCCGCCATCGTCCCGAGGGCCTGGAGCAACTTGAGGCTCAGACACGATTTTCTCGCAAAGAGCTACAGATTCTCTACCGCGGCTTCAAGAATGTAAGTCGGTACTGCAATCTACAAGGTTTTAATGGTTTAAACTTTACAGTACATAACGTCAACAACCAAGTTTTCAAATGAGTTAAAATTGAGGTTCATCATGGTTGTTTGTTAATTCTTTCTTCTTATAGAATCTTAACACACATTAGTTGAAAGTTGGAGTGGGTTATAGTGACAAAATATATATGTAGCTATAATTCTTTCAGACAATTTTCAGACAATATATTGGCAGAAATGTGCTTAAATGTGCCTGTAAATGTCGTGGTTAAGGTGCATGTATTCCACAAATGATGAAGGGAAAGTAAAGTGGAGAAATACCACTTTAATTTGTACATTTTTTAATTTTTTCAAAACAAATTTTAATTTCATGGCAATGTATCTCTACATGAATCTCCCACTTATCACAGTCTATATATGATTTATACATTGCAATGAATGCAGGAGTAGATTTAGAAGTCTGGCATGAAGGGTTAATCTGGCAAGCTCTACAGTAAATATTCTCCCAACATCTACGATGTTTACATTTCATTGGCTTTGTTACATTATTAAACATGACCAGTCTTTGTTTTTCCCTTTGATCAGTTTGATGTATGCTTTTTACAACACGGAGATAGCAGAGCTCTTGCTTCTCCTACACAATTTCTAACACTGCAGTCATCATATTTTTCTTACTTGTGCTGCAACAAAAAATCCTATATTCATGCAACATTGTTTTGTCAAATCATCAGTATTTTTATTCTACACATAACATTTGGCTTGACGTTTGAGGGCAGGGCCTTACATAATTTCTATGGGAGATTCACAGTTTGTGAAAGAAGTATCCAAACCTATGATTCATGATGGTTCCACAAAGTTGTCATATTATATTGTTTACTGCTAAAATCCCTCTTAACTTAGAACTATCCTGGGTCTTGTGTTGAGTAATGGCACCACTTTCTGAACTGTTAACAAAAAGTAATTTAACTTTTGTTTATTTATGCTAACAGAGAAGATGTCAAACCCAGTAATTACAGAGATGTTAACCATAAACCTGCAGTCTGAGAGTTAAACAATAAATTGTCTTATATATAGGTCACTTTTCAAAGCCAGAAAAGTACATTGATATTTAGTATTAAGGTCATGCAGTCCTTATATCACCCTGGCTCTATGAGGTGTAATGAGATGACCCAGAATTAACACAACCCAAATTGTCTGGCAGTGAGAGAGCAGAGCAGCAGTCCTGTGGTAGTGGAACTCCCATGATGCATCAGTGTTCCTGCCGTGTCCTCGCGCAAAGCCAGCCTATTAGTCGGCCTCCACTAGAGACGCACAGAGAGAGCTAAGGAGCGCGCTAACGAGGGCTGTAATTTGTGCCACACATTGAACTGATTGCTCTGCTCTGGGAGACTGTGAAAAGGCATTCTTATAGAGTAACTCAGCCGTATTGTCTAAAGGAGGTCTTCTCAACGTGTGGTACGGGGACTGCTGACTGAGTATGCGCCAATATGTGATGTCAACTGCAACCAGAGCACAGACTGAAAGCAGCATCTCTCTCCTTAGTCACTGTTTATTCCACAGTAAGTTCTACATTGCTGATTGAATTAGTTTTAGTTAATAGAGGTGTAATGATATCCAAATGTCATGATACGATATCATCACGATATGAACCTCATGGTACCTCATGGTATTTATTGCAATATCGTGGGGTAGCTCACGATGTGGTGGGAAGACTCACGATTAGCAATGTAACAATATCAAAATCTCTCGCTACGATATTTTAAACGATCTACATCTCACAGTATGATATTCATTGTGATATTTTTTGGAGGCTTAAAAAATTGTGAATATGCTACTTTTTCCTCTTAAAATGCCTTGACAAGACTTAATTCAAAGAACTAAGACTTAAAAGTGTTTAGAACTGTTATTTCTTCATGTAGTCTACACTGAAATGGAGGAAAGGATCATGGTCTATGTAGTTCCCTCTGTGTTTTTTTAGCTGCACCATAACTCTTAATTTAAGCAAACAGACTTGTAATTTGATATATTGTGATGGTTCACGATATTATTGTGAGAACTTTGACGATACGATATCACAATATTTCAGTTATAGTTACATCTCTACTGGTTAAAGATCCTATATTCTACAATTGGATGTAGTTACCTCATCAAAAACATACCCAGAGTTATGTTTGGTTTCATTCACACGTTTCAATAATCCTTTGTTATTAGTCTATCAACATCCCCAAAGATAAAAATGTTCTGTTCTACCTTGTGATGTCTTGTAGAGGTAGTTTTTAAGTTCTTTTTACCTTTAGTTCAGAAGAGATTGTCAGTTCCAGGGCTGAAATCCTTCTAATGATTATAGTGAGGTGTATGGAGTTTAAAACCACAGTGGAGCACTTTCTGTGTTACTACATGACATCACAAGGTGGAACTGAGTGTTTTCCTTTTAAGAGAGGAAGATGATGATAAAACAACATTATAAGAGATCAGAAAATAGTGTAATCTAGGCCCTTTTATGCTCTCCTTTAGTCTTTGTTATGAGTTAGAATTAGTTTTTTTTTTTTTTTTACTGTATTACATCTTGTTTATTTTATCCCATAGAAACGTCACACTAGATACAGTATATCATATTTCCCAGTTGTACTTCTTAGTGTGTTTAGTTTGAGAATCACTGAAATGAATACCATCACTATTATGCAATGGATCCAGTGAAGAGAGTGCACTTTGTAGTGACTAGCTCTGCACTGGTTGCCGCATGTGATCAGTTTACATGACCATATTTAACCAAGTGTCCTCTCAGACACATGCAGCGATAAAAACACTTGCAGGCTACATTTTCCATTCACTCAGCTCCACAGATGGTCTTTACTACCTTTGTTTGGATTACATCTGCTGACATAAAGAGACTGTGGATGCTATGACGTACTGAGGCATGAGCAGATAACAAGAAACAAACCATATTTTTGTATTCTTTTTTATGTTGTTGGAGCTGCACAGTTAGCAAACTTCTCAAATGGTTAAATTATGAATTATTCATGTTACCTCATCAAAAACATACCCGGAGTTGTGTTTTGTTTCTTTCAGAAATGTTTGAGTAACACTGCATTGTTAGTCTGTCTACATCTCCAAAGCTTAAATGCTCTGTTCCACCTTGTGATGTCATGAAGTGGTTGTTTTCAAGTTACCAGCTACTTTTTGACATAGAGACTGCAATTCCAGTGCTGAATTTATCCAAATGAGTGAAGGTGTATGAAGTTTTAAAACACAGTAGAACACTTCCTGTATTACCATATGACATCACAAGGTGGAGTGTTTTCAGTCTGAGAGAATAACTAAATATGCAGGTTGTGTGTTAAACATGTTTGAATGAAACAAAAGACAACTCCAAATATGTTTTTGAGGAAACAGCATGATAACATTGATCAGAAATGAGCTCAATATGGGCACTTTAAGATACCAAGTATTTAGAAATGAATGGAATGTGAACAACAAAATATAATTTCGTCTTTATATAGGGGAAAAACTTGCTCACAGTGTTTGGAAATTTATGGGAATCTTGTATCTTCTTGTGTCATCTCTCAAGTGTTAATGCTCCTAGACCTGTTTAAAATGTGCACATAATGCAACATAATCCTCAAATTTTTTGTCCAGGTATGACTAAACTATGCTTTGTATCATAAATTAGGTATTCAGCAGTTTGTCCTCATAACACCAGCAAGATGAAATAGTAAATAGAACTGAGTTGACTAGATTTTTGGAACAGTTCATCTCTGTATATGAGGGGCATTTAGCATTAGCAGTGCAGCTAACTGGAGTGTTACCACTGATCTAAAAATGTATGTCTTAGTGTAAATCTACTCTAGTTATAACCTTACCAGTTTGAATACACTTACTGCTGTTTGTACATTTGTGACATTATTGAGCAACTAAAATGAAATCCTGATTTGGGGTTAATAAAGTCCTACTATTTTAATTACTTGCCTTAGTGGGTGTCTAAAAGTAGTTCAGTAATTCAAAATAATTCTAGTAAAGAGATTTCATAATTATAAAATTATTCTCTTCGGCATTAGAAGACGAAGCAAGCTGTGAATAGTCTTGCAATTGCTTTGCTAAACCTTCAGGCATTTTTCATTACTATTTAATTCAGCAGTTTACTGTTTTCAAATCCCTACTGGCCAATAACAAAATGACAAGACATTCTAAAAAGAAATTATGTCTGCTATTAAGCTGCAAACGACAATATGTCACCTCCAGTATTACAAATTGTCTGCATTAAGTTCCCAGAGTGTATAAATGTGGAAAAAGTACTTTTTGTTACATGTGGCGATGGCAAGTGGGTTGGAAAATACAGTTGTTCTCCTAAAAAGGCACAGCCAGACCCTGACCCTGAAGGCGGACTTTTAAGTTCTCACAATTAATTGGAGCCGATGTGAGTTTTGCCCCACTGTCCTTGTGCGCATCGTTTTAAAGGGAGTGGGACTGTTCTAATGCGCCTGGATGCATGGGGTCATTTGTATTGGCAACTGATTTCAGGCCTCATTTACACAAGATGTGCTCAGAGTGCAGAGTAAATCAAGCAAGATGTCCAAAAGAGGCAAAGAGGCAAATATGAGATGCTGGTCATAATATTATTTCCACATGCATTACGGATAAGTTTTGAGGTGTAATTTAGGGCAAACTGATATATTGAAATTCAGCTGCAAAAGCCCATCACTGTTTATCAAGGAGTAAAATGTCACTTTTCCGGTGGAGGGTACATTTACATTTGTCTCTATGGGGATGTTATTGCTCACTCTGGAATGTTCCACAGCATGATTTTAAAGGAGACAAACCCACAGGCCAAGTTACATAAATTGACACAAATGGACAATGTTAACTTAGTCTACAATTCTGTCCTCTGTCCTTTCTGTTTGTGTAGAAATACGTTGTTTGTATAGTCCTTTTTAAGTCCTGGTTTAGCTCTAGTTTAGACCTAGAATAGTTATTTTTTAGACCTGGTTTAGATTTGTTGGGAAAAG